GTAGTATGTATTACCTATTGTAATCGTGGTACATTGTTGCAAAAATACGGTACAAAATAATTAAAAAAACATTCAGTATTAAGAATACTCGTGCAAATAAATACGACCCGATATCTTTTTATTATTCGGACAAGTTATCTCTCGTCCATCAAGGGTTAACCTTGTGACCCCTCATAAAAAACAGCCAGTATTAAAAATAAATTAAAAAATACATAATGTAAACAAATGGTCCGATAATAATATCGCTTAGTTGAAGGGTTGACTTGGATCTTGTTGATGCACACTCGGACCTTGATCCAGGTGCGACGTGAAACTGGTTTTCGCGCGCAATTTTTCAATAAACATTTCTCCTGCTTAGATCGATGTCAAAATTTATGTACATCACAGCAAATGGTGACCTTATCCCTAATTTTCTAGAGAAGAAAGAGCGGCTTTTGAAGTGCAAATGTAACTCATTGTGCCATTGAATAAGCCAAATAACACAAACACGAATGTCAAACTTTATTAAATGTCCCGCCTCAATTGAGGTCTGCTTCGTTAGTTCATCCAAAGGAAACATGTCGTCTCTCCATGATTATCGGTAGACATTATCCCTACATATAAGAAATAAAATAATGTAATAGATAAACTCTATGGGTGTGAAACGTGGAAGGTCACCAAGGTTATCTCGCACCAGCTGCAGGTCTTCATCAACCGCTGCCTTCGCCGAATTCTCGGCATATACTGACCCGAGAAAATCTCCAACGTCGAGCTATTGGAACGCTGCCACGAAATTCCGATCGACCAGCAGATCAAGCGCCGCAAGTGGAACTGGATTGGCCACACTCTCCGAAGGGACCCCGATCACATCCCTAAGCAGGCTCTGGATTGGAATCCCCAAGGAAAACGCAATCTTGGTCGACAAAAACAAGAAACTAGTATCACTTACATGCGCGTATACAGAGGGGGGGCCGGGACCCGGGTGGCCCGTGATCACCCTAGAATCATCTGGTGCCCACCCCAGGATGTTGGGCTACCGATGCGAAGATGATAGTTGATAGTACTCACTCAATGAGCTGGCTATGATACCAATCGTATTATGGTTAGTCAAGGGGCCAAGTGATTCCCCCTTGAAAAATAACCCCAAGTGAGCTGCCACAATAGCGGATTGCAAGCGCGTGACGCGTGATAAGACGCGGCGTGTTCGCTGCGTCGCCGCACCGCTTTGAAAACACTTGCAATCCCAAGGTTCTAAGGTAGATACGCCAAAGGCCCTAAGGTAGATGTAAAGTAAGTATTATTATTATTATTGGTTTTTGGGCCTTCATTTGCGCCAGCTCGACCAGGTTTGATCTATTGTGGCAGCCCTTGTCTTTAGAGTTCACTGCTTAGTCCCGTTGAGTCTATAAATTTCCAGATTCTTTGGAGCGTGATATCTGCTATCTCATCCGGGTGCATGATGTGTGCCCGAGATGGATACTTCTTTTGCTCATAAGTGGGCCGCATGAGCAAAGAACATGCATGGCCGTTTCTTCTTCTGTATGGGAGAATCTGCACAGAGTAAAGTAGAAGGCCAATAATCACTTACCAATAAGTGCCGGGTCAATATCTATGCCGACGACGGAGCGGGCGCCCAGATTGCGGGCCACGGCGATCGTGACGTGGCCCACGTTGCAGCCGATATCCAGCACATCCTTATTCTGGAACAGGTGGCGGTGCATCTCGAATACTTGCAGGCGTACGTCCATCATCGCGTTGAGATTGCGGTAACCGTAATACCTGGAAGTAAGGAGAAAGTGATTTAGTTAACACAGCAGTTAATTAGTTTATTTGTTTCAGCCAAATGACAACCACTGCTGGACAATGGAATCCCACAAGGATTTCCACAACGACTGGTCCTGCGCTGCCCGCATACGGGTACTTCCCGCTACTGTCACCAGATCATCAGTGCACCTAGTCGGAAACCTGCCCACACTACATCTTACGGCCCGTGGTCGCCACTCAAGAACTCATACAGCAGTTATGTATTCATGAACAATAAGCCTAAGCGCAGACCATCGATTTTTCGTCGGCCGATAGTTTAGTCGGGCAGTTAATCAGTATGGGCATGTATGGAAGTGCGCACATTACGCCGATTTGATTTGGCCGATTCTTCATACAATTTAAAATCGGGCACAACTATCGGCCAACTAAAAATCGATGGTCTGCGCCTAGTCTAAGGTAAAAAGAAGAAGCAAAAGCTACTTAAAGATAACACAGCCTGTACTTTGATTCCTAGGGACAGACACAGTCATCAAAAACAGTTGAATATACTCCTTACTTCATCAAACAATTAGCTTTTAATTGCATTTGAGGTCTGCCTGAGGTCAGAATGATTTTACAAAAGTGGGAGAAATGGCTTTATGTAAATGCTAGTTCTGAAATATTATTATAGTATTTCAACTTAGCCATGTGTAATGTAAAATATTATAATTATAAAAAGAAATATTTCTGAAGTGAATATTGTGAATGAATGTAATGTGTCAACTTTCCTTCCATCATGTTCACAGCACACATACATGATACTGGTAATTGGTATCTCTTAGTTTTATTTAGTTTAGTACCGTAAGTAAACCTCTAAGAATAAAGTACCATCCAAAATAAGTAGGCCAATTTTCAAGCTTCAATAAGTAAATAAATGGAATAATTCAGACATTTTTAAGGCAACATACTTCCAATAGATAAATTTTATAAGAATCAAATTCATGTTAACACAGATCAATAATTGTTTTAATAGAACAGATAACAATAAACAGATAATTGCTCCCAATCACATAAATCACACTGATTTCATGCAAGTAAAAACAAGAGCATTATTTGATTGAATTATTACTACAGCAAATACTTTATAATTTTAAATCATTAATGAACCTTATTTACAAAAAACAGGATTCCAGTTAATCCTGTTGTTAATAAATCATCATTTAATAAACTGAACTGCCTCTATGGAAGTAACTTAATTAAACAAATTACACCAAATTCGCATTTGACTGCTAAGCAACACGGAATAATTAATTTATATCAGACCGCAGCCAGTGGACTGTGACCACGACCAGACATACTTCACTTGAATATCATGCCACAAAAGATAATTGCATAATTACTCACCTATCATAATTTCCATACTGATATTTGGAATTTTTTGGATTAAACGTAGGTAACTTTTGTTCGCCCTCTGTTTGAGTCTTGAGCTTGGTCCGTGGAGAAGTGGGGCGCTCCGCCGCTACCACGCGGGGCTGCGGACGCGCTCTCTTCCAAGATCCTGGCTGAGGCACCACTGGACTAACAATTTTATCCAGTGAATCCATCCGACGCAACTTCTTACCCTCTTTTCCTTTTTGTGATGAGTTGTCACTGTCACTACAAGATCGTTTTCGTGACTTAGACGAAGAAGGCTCCGGCGGTGGAGGCTCCTTGATGCCCTCATCTTTCACCGCAACAACCTCTTTGGTCGGCAATTCTGTGTTATCTGTGGTGCGGCGTCGCAGTTTCGGCTTCTTGCGAGGCTTACGCTGCTGCATCTCCAAACGCTTTTCATACTCATCATTGTCTACAGGCTCCATCAAATTCAGAGGATCCCTAATATTGGGGGGTATTATCACTTCAATTTTTGCCTTGTGACGAGGAGGAGTGGGCAATGGAGACGATTCTGGAGTAACGGCATTCATTGCTCTGTTGATGTCTTCATCCTGAAGACTATTCAAGTTCAAAGGATCTGAGATATTACCTCCAAGGAGAAACTTTGTTGGTGGAATAAACACGTCTTTGCGCGGTCTTTTGTGAGGAAGAAAGAATTTAGAAATAGTAGGGAAGCTTTGTGCACGCTTTCTGCCTTGTTTGAACTTCGTGGCTGTGTAGTGCACCCTTCGTATGGTACTTCTATCTGTATTGTCTTTCTTACCGTGCCCATGTCGAAACTTCTTTTTTGATTTTTTACTACCTCCTACGTTAACTGTTTCGTCCTTGGAAGTGCTCGTTTCCGAAACAGATTGACCAGACACGTTCACCAGCGATGCGTTGGTATCCGTCGATATGGTTGCATCGTTCTCCGAAATTTCACCGCAAACTTCATTTACTACAGTGTTTACTTCACTATTGGGTTCACTAACACGCACATTTTCTTCTGAACTACCCATTGCGAAATGTATAGTTGTCGATAACTAAGCACATCATAAAACTATAGCATTTCAAATATTAAATTTACCGCCACTCTGGTTCTTGCAAAATTTACAAGGACATCCGTCAATGGTGATAAACAGGTTAGCAAATCTGTTTATTATGGTAAGAAATGCATTAAAACGCGTTCTATTACTTAAATACGATCGTTCTCTACAAGATGAAGAAAATTTTCAAGTTAAAACTTAGATCTAATTAGAAAATATTGCACTTTTCCAAATTATTCACTGCACCACACGAGTACCCGAGAAAATGGCAATTTGATTAAACATTGAAGTACGTTCTCTAACGCTCTGAGAAGTGAAAGCTGGTACGTTTTCTAATTTACTATTGGCGGATTTTATCCACATAGTCGACCAATAACCAATGAAAAAAGCTTTCCGATCTGACACATTTAGGTGGGTGTGGTTAAAAATGACAAAGAGAACACATTGTTTCAATGTTACCAGGAGTAAAAAATTATAAATATATTTATTGTAATAATAGAACGCTTATATCCGCGACAATACTTATAATTACTAAAATAATTATTTTATCTATAAAAAAAAACGTATTAATATTTCTAATTAAATAACCAATTTTTTACCATCTGCAATACTAATTTATGACTTTTTCTTTCAATAAATAAAGTACAAAAGTGCAATATGTTCTAATTCTGTCAAACGAGTTAATAAAAATATTATTCTACATTCTTTGACTACACTAAACACTTACTTCTAAACGTTATAAAAAGACTGCTTTATTTTATTACAAATCATACTTATAGCCAAAGCATTATTTTTTTTATTTTTTAGTGACATCACCAATCTCAGGCGTCATTTTTGAATTTTGAATGGAAAGCCGTTTTTCAGTTTGACAAACAAAATAGATGTTTGTTTGAAAAGGCGGACAATTTTTTAATTTTATAAGTTAGTATCTAGTTATTTATGTAATTAAAATAATTTACTTTATAGATAATATTAAAAGTCGTTACATTACATTCAATTCCAGACTCCAAAAGTGCATTGTGTTGTGAATTATGTGTGATGATGGAAGTTGTGGCAGTTTGCTCGATTTTAATATCACGCAGTTTGATTTCGAAGTTGTCTTCTAATAATAAATCACTGAGATCCTTAAATTTATTAAATAAAATGTTCATAAGAAAGTTATTAAAATTTCTGTGATTGTTTTTCAGAAGCACTACAGGTGCGTTCACAAGTGAGGAATAACACAGCAAAGGTAATTTTTTTTAAATATTTTACACTATGTTTAGTCATTTTAATATGCGTTAGTACCCTTAGGCTCGTAGACCATACATTTATAATCTAATGTTTTTCACAGAATATGTCAAGAATTCCTAAATTGCCAACCACTGCTACTAAAGAGAACAGACCTGGAGGGCTGTTGAACAGGCCTGGGGGGCTGTTAAACAGCCGACCAATTTCCAGGACTATAGCCAATGGTCTGAGTGATGCCGATAAAAAGAATTTATTAATAAACCATACCAGACCTCTTCGTAATGGGCCCACCACTACAGCACCTGCACCGCGCCTAAAAAGAGCAGCAACAGCTCCATCGTCAACTACATTGCCTGGAAAAATCACAAAAGTTGAGAAGAAGCCACCAACTGTTGCTCCCAAGATCCCACCATATGACTACAAAGCTAGATTTGCTGACTTGTTGGAAAAGCATAAAGCTATCAAGACAGAATTTAATGACCTCAAAGATAAACATATTGAAGTATCAGATGACTATGAGAAAGTCAAGGAGACTGCTCAGTCATCGGCTAGTGAAAGAGATATCCTTAAAGAGAAGCTACTCAGTTCTCTTAACGACTTAAGAGAAAAGACATCAGAATTTGAAAGAATGAAAGTTGACTTTGAAATTCAAAAGCATGAGAATGAAGATTTGCATCGCAAAACCAAACTCTTGGAAGAAATCACACAGAATTTAAAGAAAAAGTCAGCAGAGTTGGACCAAGTGCAATCTGACTTCAATGACCTTACAAGACGCCACACAAGCCTCAAAGAGGAAACAGAGGCATTAAGGGTTCTCACGGAACACCTTAAAAAAGTATCCATTGAATTTGACAAACTAAAACTTGACTATAAAGATGCACAAGAAATGATTGTGAAATACAAAACTGAGGCTGAAGCATTGCAGAACATTTTAGCATCTATGTATAAGGAACAACGTGACTTGAGAAATACAATTCAAGATTTGAAAGGCAATATCAGAGTATACTGCAGAGTCAGGCCACCACTGGAATCTGAAGCTACAAAACCACTGTTTAATCTCAATGTCCTTGACGCCTGTTCTATTGAAGTTGAGAAAGTTGAATTGAACTTCAGCTCTGCAAGAAAAGGGAAGTCACAGCATGGGTTTACATTTGATGGAATTTTCACACCACATGCATCTCAGGAAGATGTGTTTGCTGAAGTTTCACCTATGGTCCAGTCTGCACTGGATGGTTACAATGTGTGTATTTTTGCATATGGTCAGACAGGCTCTGGGAAGACCTACACCATGGAAGGTGGCTGTGGTGTTGAACAGTATGGCATCATACCTAGAGCATTTAACATGATCTTCACAAGCATGGAAGATTTAAAACGAATGGGATGGGAGCTGACCATTAGAGCCTCCTTCTTGGAGATATACAATGAAATTATTTATGACTTGCTTAATAGTAGCAAGGATCAAGAGGCTCATGATATTAAGATGGTCAATTCCAAAGGTACTGACATTTATGTATCAAATTTGAAAGAAGAAGAAGTGAAGAGCTCACATGATTTTATCAAATTGATGATATTTGCCCAACGTAATAGACAAACAGCAGCCACACTGAACAACGAGAGGAGTTCTAGGTCACATTCCGTTGCCCAAATCAAGATATCGGCAATAAATGAAAAACGCAAAGAAAAGTTTACAAGTAATTTAAATCTGGTTGACTTGGCTGGTTCAGAGAGTGGTAAAACAACACAGAGAATGGATGAAACTAAACACATCAACAGGTCACTGTCAGAGCTCTCGAAAGTTATTTTGTCACTGCAAACCAACCAATCACATATCCCTTACAGAAACTCTAAACTGACGCATCTCTTGATGCCAAGTTTAGGCGGCAACTCCAAAACGCTCATGTTGGTCAATATCAACCAATTCGATGAATGCTTTAGTGAGACTCTTAACTCTTTGAGGTTTGCAACTAAAGTAAACAACTGCAGAACTGTCAAGGCGAAAAAGAACTTAACTATGGTTGATACAACGTCATAACTTAATTTAACTTTTGTTAATCTATTGATAATTTTGTTTATTGATATGAAAGTGATTTTATTTTGATCAGTGACAAAGTAATGAATGTGTCTGTGTCTGTCCCTTCAGTATACTTACTAATTAATTCAATCTGCACCATTTGGTGTATTTAGTTTGCTATGTAGTATGTAACAATCATAGGTGGAACTTAATTTTAAAAGATACTGTTAATTATAAAGATTTTTAATTTTTTCTATGACATTGATTATGTAATTTAGTCCTTATTCTATTATTTTGAATACTTATAATGTTGTGTGTAATCAACCCTTAGTTAAAACCTTATTAATAAATTAATGTAAGAAATATGGTGTTTTTTTCTTCAAAATAGGTACATAATTTTACTAATCCCATATCTAATGTAGCACATTGTTTCTATTTAAACTACATATTGCTTGCTCATTTTTGACTTACTGCTGTAATTATTGCTGTTATTTGATATTATGTAGAAACATAATATCAAAATCAATGAAAATAGTTATTATGGACTACTATATTTATTAGTCCGTGTGTTATACTATACTACACATACTCACCAACACATATAGCAGAGGAAAGGGTCCTTTGGATCGATTGCAGGATTTCTTTTTACCCGACTGCGCCCGAGGGAGGGGGTTGTTATTTCCTACTATCTTATTTGATCTAAAAACATAAGTATTCAAGAATCAAGTCTATTTTTAACTAATAAATAAACATTCTTTGGACATACTGACCACTGCGTCTCTAATAGTCCAAACTATGACTACTATGAGTAGGTACTTAACAACGGATAAAAATTATAAACATAACAGATACTTTTTGTTGTAAATAATTCTTCTAGATAGAAAACATCCACACCAATTTATTCAAAGAGATATTTTCATGCACACAAACGCTTGTACAGTACCTACTGTGCGGGAATCGAACCCGAGACCTCGGCGTAGTAGTCCGATATCAACCACTACTACGCAAACGGCCAACAAACTGGTTTCCATCTTAACCATTTTTTCTGCTAATTTCTACTGTTAGAGGCCTTTATTCTATTCTATTTAACTATGATTTTAAGTAGTTATGATTTTCTACATACTTATTTGAATAGAAAATCGTAAATGTTTTCGAAAGAAAAAAAAAACCTTCATTAAGTAAATAAAGAATAGTTTCCTGCTAAAATATTTATAGCAAATACATTTTTCTGAGAGTTTCATAAAGTGAAGCTTCATTATTTAACCAAAGTTAACAAGCATACCTATTTACTTAACGTTAGTGTCCACGAACCTAAGTTACAATAATACATGATTAAGCTTCTGTAAGTACATAGCCTAGGTACATCAGATCAAAATTAACTTATTAATTTACAAGATTTTACAAATTATGTTTTCCGTTGAAAGCTACATGATTTTTGTGTACCTATGCTCCTGCGAAGTCCTGAATTGTATACCTACCTAAGTTACTAATATTGTGACGCATCAGTTAGATTCAACGGCAGTCAAACACGTTTTATTAGGCCAATATTATGTTACAAAACATTAATTATATTCACCCAAGGCTTTTTCAGGTTGTTGTAAGTACCTACTTAATGTGAATTCGAGGACACGAGGACTCTCCATGCCTTGGCTGTGCTGCACAACCTACTTATGCTTATTTTGAAGAAAGCAAAGCGTTAAACAGAATAAAAACGTACTTACCTGCCTTCGTCATTGACAGGAAGACAGAAATTCAAAGATAAGGATATACTTAGTTAGTCACTTATCGTTACCTAATCCACCAAAGCAGGGTATCATAATAACTTGTCGATATCCCGGAGGTTGAGATACTTGCATCTACTTATTCTTACCAACAATCCAGAGTCAAATAAGTAGTCGTTCCAAAAATCACTTAAAAGTTTTTATGTATGTTAGTAGGTAGGCCCTTTCTAATCTAAGTATATTATTTTAGTTAAATTTTATTGTTCAACTTAATTATTATATTATTTATAAAGTTCTTTATCGGTAAATTTAAGTGAAAAAATCTCGAACCCACTGAAATGAAGTCAGTCAATTTGTATTCTTAGATTTTTATAAATTGAAATGCCTAAAGCAAAATCTAAAATAAGTAGGTAGGTATACCATTGGCTCTATTTTAAAATATTGTAAGAAGAAGAAGACTTGTTTTCTGAAGAAATGTACAAGTAAGTAATCTACGTAAGCACTTCTAACATGTTTTTGTTGGCAAAAAATGTCATTGTTCTCAAGAACTATGTTTACTCGCCTACTGTTCATATTGATTCATGACAGGTAGGTATGCCTACGTGAGTCGGAAACCAGAAACCCACTACGTTTTGGAGGCTTGTCAAGTTCGTAATCTCATACTAATGTAATAACATGTAGGCAATTTTTGTAGAGTTAAAGTGAACTAGACTGCCTTTTTTAAAATTAAAAATATGCCCGCCAGGGAATCGAACCCAGGTCTTCTGATTGTGAATGCAATTTTCTATGCATTGTGTCTGGTCTGGTATCTGTAGAAATGTACTGAGAATACAATGGACAGGTTAGTCTAAGTACCTAGGTACTGTTGTAAAGTACCTACGCGTACGCGTACTTACTGTAATTAGAGTTACAGTCCATTTTTACGTCACCCATTTCTCACTTAGGATCTTCTACTAGTTACAGGATGAAGATATTAAGTATTTATATCAAAAATATCTTTTTGGAAATAATAATCATAAATTGATTCCAGTAATTATTAGGCACATGACTCCCTACTTAGATCAAGAATCGAAAGATTGACCTGGTATCATTGACTTGTGGCTTCTAACTCATCGATTTGTGATTTCAACAGCACGTCAAGAATAGTTTGATGTGATGTGATGTTGTCTGTACTTGTGTTATTTCTTGTGTAATTTTAGGGAAATGAAACTGCCAAAGTAATACAAAATCAAGACATTTTATTAAACATTAAAGACTAGATCAATATATTAGGCGATTAATCGCATTCTCTTTCATATTCACAAAATAATCACAAATACAAATTTTGTGAACAACTCCGTGCGTCGAGACGGGCGCATGGGGCGCGCGAGTGCGCGGCGGCGGCGGCGGCGCCGGGGGCGGGTCCATTGTCATCCCGCTGGCTGTTCAACGCGACACGTCGGGCTCGGCTGCTTCACTGCCTTCAGAAGGCAGCCTAGCAGTTTCCAACGTCTGAATCAGTCTGTCTAAACCGTACAGGAAACCTTCCTCGTGATTGCCCTGCTGCCAGGTCGAACGGTGGTTCACCTGCGTGCCTTCAGGCACGCGTCGCGTCTTAGCGAAATCAATCAGCCAAGCTCCGACGCGTTCGTCGTCGTAAATGATAAAGATACTGCTCCCGACGATTTCATGGGTCTTGAAGAAATCCGAGCGCTCGAAAAGGTCTCGTATTTCGCGCAGACGGGTGGTGATGGCGCGACGGGCGCGCTCATCTTTTCCTAGGAAGCGGGCCACGGTCGCCGCGAGCTGCTGCGGCTCCCGGACGTTCTGCAAGTCCGTCAGCGGCGGCTCCCCTGGCAGCTTGACGGCTTCGATGCGGAAGCCCTGCTCGGCGGACGAGGAGCGCTGTTCGCGGAACTGCATGTATCTCAGTTTGGTGACAGCGCGGGCGGCGTGCTCGGCCTCGGTGGGGGCGTTGGGGTCTAGGCGCACCATTTTCTCGTAGAGGTCGGTGCGGGCGCGAGCGTTGCTGACTTCGTCCTCGAGGAAGGTGCGGGTTCCCATCTTGATGTCCATGACGTGGGGGTCACGGAAGCCGTGGAGCAAGTCTTGTAGTTCGATGAAGCGTTCTCCACCGTACTCGAGTTCACGGTAGTATTTGGGGATGGCCGAGCGCATGTGGGGGCAGGCGGCGAGGGCCTCGTAGGTGTCGCGCTCGGGGCTGTGCGCGGGGTGGTCGCCGGCGGCGCGGCGCTTCCACACCGTGCCCGGGCCGGCGGGCGCCAGGGAGCCGGGGTGGCCCGACAGTTGAAACCACTCCGAGGAGCGGGACTTCAACAGCGCATCCGAAGCGGGAGCTGATAACTCCAATGCATTCTGTAACAATAGGAAAAAATATTTAGTGAAGGTCCAGTGGTTAAGGAGACCCTTGGTGATGACGATAGAAAGGAAAATGCGCATTGTTGTTGTAACTAATTGAATTGCGGAAACAATGATCAATGTGCGTAGGTTCTCTAATTACCACAGTAATGTATAAATTTATTTGGTTGTTGCAACTAATGCGATTAGAAGGTAGATTACGTAATCAGCTTTACATAATTAACTTATTGTTTTTAATTAAATTTATTATTAATGTTTGTATATTGAGAAAGTCCATTAAAAATTAGAAAACATAATTATCCAAGATACTTACAATAGCTAGGAACTTGAGGAGGTCTGAGGGCTGTGCATTGGGCGCAGTGGTGGCAGGGGCGGGCGCCGGCTCGGCCTGGGCGCCGGAGCGGCGCCAGCGCTTGAAGAGCAGCGCGCCCTCATCCTTGCGCCAGCGGTCATCCTCTTTGCCAGGCACAGCGACCTGAGGACAACGAAAATCACAAGTTGAAAACACCACGTCAATACCACAATACACTGCGTGCATAAAATATCACTTTGTTTTGTAACACCACACATTGCGATAACGTACCGCTAAAATTTTATTGGCTGCGTAAAGTAGCCCGCCAGGGCCGAGGCGGCTCAGCACCGACTGGCGGGAGACACTGTTCATTTTGCTGGTGACGGTCATGGTGCGAGTGCTTGCGACGAATGCGCGGACACAAATGAGCTAGTAACGATAACGATTGCTGGGAACAAGCGAGGCCGTGTGTTCACGACTGCTGGTAGCCTGCGAGTGGTGGCGGTGGGAGGGCCGGCCGCGTTTTATAGAGACCTCGCCGCGAGTGACGTCGGCCCCGGCCCGCGCCTCAGCTCTGTCCCCTACAATGAATTTTCCTAGCGCCAGTTTTTCACGAAGATGGGCCGATATCCATTGATCGGTTAGGTATCGTGAAAGCAGCACGTTACTTTCGCCTTTAGTTAGCGCCGGCCGGGTCACTTTTTTGGTTTTATCGATAAAAGGTTTTCTATTTTCGAGTGGACAATAGAAATCATTGGTCAGACAGATTTCGTACATTTGCTTGCTACAGTAAATTTTTAAACATTTTTAATTTCATTTTATCTAATACCGGTGTTTCTTTACGCAGTTAAATTGTCATACATATGTGTTTTAATGCACTTTTTGTACAAATTCCACGAGGCAAACAATGTAGAGTTTTATTGGTGATCCATATTACCTACCTGCGACCGGTTGTACTTTTGCTATCCAGATTTTTTAAATTATTGAGGTAGGTGCATGTTAGAGGATAATAGTTTGGTTGAAATGGTGCCTATTGTAACTAATTAATTTGTAGGGGTACAATATTTAAGTTTATAGTTTTAAGCTTATCAGATAACATTATAAACTGCTAATAAAGCCTTACATGTCTGATAGTAATAAAATATAATCTTATATCATTTACCTTAGTGTTGGAGTTATATTTTATTATGTACTTATTTATTATTGAAATCTGAACACTGAATATAACTTTTAAATAAATACTTCTGAAACTTCCCGAAAATTTTGACATTACGAATTAATAAGGCCTGCATAGGATTAATATTTACCTGCATAGGATAAATACTCAAGCACAATGGACTTAAAAGCAAATAGGTAGATAGATCTACTATACTCCATTATAATGTACATTATTTTCTATTACAAAAGTATCGTCATATTATGATTCTTATCACATTTTTTTATTAGTTTATACTTAGTGGAACTTTTAGTTTATTTGTTGAACATTGACCGTTCCCATCAAAATAGAGCAAATATTTATTTTAGCCATAATAATACGCAGCTCTACCAATTGACGTCCCGGGTCGTAAAATAATGCGTCAATTAAATCACAACAAGATAACATAAACATTAAAATCAATTATTTGACCTAAAGCGCACTGCATAATGCGTGACGTGTTATTTCCAAAAGATACGAAAAAGCAAATGCGTGACGTAGAGTCGTTTGTCCTTAGAGCGCGTGACGCAAAGGGAAGGCGCTCGCTGCGGTCTCTGGCCAAAACCGTGACGCGTAATGCGCGGGCGCAGCCTGGAAGCGCTCACGCTTGGCTGCCGTGACGTCACAAAACGCTAGTACGTCCATTGTAACCATAAGATAATTCGAGTAATTAACGTCACTAATTAAGGCTCAGTGAATAACACGATCGTAATTATATAATTCGAAACGCTACTTATTGGTTTTGCGTTGAAAGTTGGCAGCTTGTTGATATATTTTTAAACGAATGCCTATTATGGTAGTTTGTGATTTTAACAATTACGAGTCGATCTTGTACCATGAGGGTTTCGAACCCTTCATCCTTCTCCTTCTATTTATTTGTTTCATTGGTTTTGAAGTGCGATTCAAAAAAATTTTTTAAATATAAAATTTAAGACAGGCAAAAGTGTCACATTAAAGCAAATTATCAATTTTCGGATTTATTTTTGTGCTGTTAGACCTTGCTTCTAGCCAAATTCGATAATTCTAGGTCAGCGGGAAGTAAGATAGTTTTTGATTTAGTATTGCGATTGTCTAAATATAAACGTAAACTTGAGAAAACCTATTAACTTGATATTCCTTGCTATCTTGATAAAAATATCTTGTCAGAGGGATTACTTTTCTCTTTTAATCCTTCAAGCTCCGCGAATCTAGACACAATAGATAATCAATTGTTATGATATTAATTAATGCCGTCTGAAGAAATATCCGTCTGGGACTCAATCGGTAACCTAGGTAGTAGGTTACCTACCTATTTTCTTTTTTACTGATCCGAAAATACATTTTAGTAGAATACATGGACCTTTGTTTTTCGAAAGAATTAACTAATTAAATATTTTACTAAAAATAACTATTATGTCATGCATGTATAAAGTTGCACCAGATCATGTTCATTTAAATTAAAGTTAAATAGTTATATGTATAAATACATTACAAGAATAATATTCTAAGAATTCAATTAAAATGTTGAAAAGAATGGGTAGAGTTAAACATTTAAAGCTATCTGTTCAATTTCACTCACGCCTAAATATTTAATGTAACATCTGTTTTCGGTTAAGTGGTGGTTTAAAATAAACAAAATGCTCTTATTTATTATACTTCTACCAATGCTATTAATTGAAGTTACCATAGGTACGGTTGTGTTTTTCAACGCGTCCTAAGTGGGGTGTAAGATAAATAGCTGATGTATAAATCACCTCGTTTTATTTATTACTAAATAGCTTTTACAAAAAAAATCGTCTACGTAGAGTTCTTTAAACGTTACCTAAATGTGCTATTCTGGTATACAAGCTACGTAAAGCTTCATAAAAATTAATCTAATAGTTTTTGCGAAAGTTTAACCGGATTAAATACGAGTTTCTATTTTTAATTAGATCGAAAGAGACCCTTAATGAATAAATAAATTGTGTTTGAATTTCATCATGCTGCAATCGAATCCAGAGGCGACTACAATTCGCGAAGTCCTAATGTAATACCTTAGTACTTCAAGAGCCTACTAGCTGCGACAAACTATTCCTAAATAAGAAAAGAATAGGTAAGATTCTTCCTAGAGATATGTCACGTTGTGTAAGAACCAAAAATAATCGTAAATACAAACGGTACATTTATGTAAAGTCTTGACTAATCCAGATAAGTGATAAAAAAACATGTTTATCACGGTCGCCAGGTTTTTTCCCGATTTTTCTTTTGTATTAAGTATTTCCAATTGTGTAAAACCAGTCACTTGTAGGCAATGAATATTTCATCTCAAATACATTACATCACATTGCATTTTAAGTACATGATTGACATATCGAGAGGCTCCTTTTCGATGGGTTTCATAAATACGACAGTAAAATGTTTACGACTTCTCAACACTTCGCTTTCAAGACATAATGTAATGTCCTGTTATCGTTTAGGTACACACGAGAACATAAAGACTGGAATGTAGTTAAATTTCAAGTTATTTCTTCAAATAAAGTTTTATGGGAAGAGTGTTCCATAACATTTCTTTATGAGAAAGTCTTGTGTATCTCTACATTAGGGTACGGATCCTATGTTACGATGCTCAAGATAAATCCGAATCTAGGAACCTAGTGTACCTATATTTTTGTGTAAAGATACTCAACATTGTTCAGAATACAGACTGTAGTATTAAAGAGTCGATAACTAAAAATGTAGAGTCGATCCGTGCACTGGATCTTCTGTTAAAAACAATATCGCAACGAAGCCAATATCAAGGCTATTTATTTATAAAAAGACACTATTTAATTATAAGTCACGTCCGTCGAAACAGATTCAAAACGATCGTCTTTTATCAATACTTATTGTTTATTGTCACGTGAGTTTTCTATCGCGTTTTGTTTTCAATTCCTTAAAAAGGTTTTTGCAAAACATCCAACAGATATTATGTAAAATATTCGCGAAAATTCGAAACATGTTTTGAAAATGTTACAAGGGGCAAGTCAATAGTAAGCAGGTAACGATAAAATGCATTTACCTAGTTAATATTAATACCTGAGTACAAGCACGTACCTACTTTGACCGAAATCATACTTTGATGTATCAGGGTTAATTGACATAATATGTATTTCTTACCCAATGCTAAATGAAGATCTAATATGGTTTTTTCTATTCTTACTTAAAAAAAAGTCAGAAAAATTCTGTAAAAGCGGGCGAAATATATCATATAACATCTATAGGATAGTGTTCTACTATCTCGTTTAAGTATTGGTAAATTAATTTTAATAAGTACATAAGAAGATGATGTGTTATTAGTTACCTGCCAAATATTTGTACTAGAATAATAAATGGTTGCTAAACAAAACGAGTATGTATCTAGGTACCTATTTATTGATTTCAATGTTCGCAATAGGTAGCAACTAACTGAGGCAAATGCCCTCATGAATACATAGTACAACTTTTTCTATGTACGCATCTAAACTCCAAACTCTTCTTTATGTAACGTTTGTTCCTCGTCAATACTTCATTATACTTCGTNGAGCGTATTAATTATCCCGGCACATATCGTGCGTGGATAAGACATTTTTAAACTGATTGCATTTTGCTTTGATTATTTTCCTAACGTATTATCATATAACGTGGGTAGACGTATCAACACGTCGTAAAATAGTATAACATAATTAAACATTGTTAAACAAATAAAATAAATAAATAAATAATTATAAATATAATAATATACAATATACATGGGGTATTTATAATTTGTTACCCTATCAAATACAAAAATCTTTATTGTGAACNACAGTGGATTACTTTACTATCACACAGTGGATTACTTTACTATCACACAGTGGATTACTCAACACACAGTGGATTACTCAACACACAGTGGATTACTCAACACACAGTGGATTACTCAACACACAGTGGATTACTCAACACACAGTGGATTACTCAACACAGTGGATTACTCATCACACAGTGATTTCGTACACACAGTGAATGCGTTTTATTTCAAAGCGAATATCTACACAGCAAACACACATCACACAGTCAACATACATCTCACACTCTGCTTATTCCTTCAGTACTTATTTCAAAGAAGCAGAAGAAGAATTACTGTACACTGCATCCGCAGTTTGTATGTACATGTACTTAAAAAAAAATCGTATTCAATAATAATAATGGATAAACTACATTTCATTTTTTTTTTACAATCATCTATAATTTACATTGAATGTAGATATTATTATGTACAATATTTATTTATAATACAGTTTATCATGGATTTTTCTTTTGTTTTATTTATCGATTAAAGAATTAATATTATATTAATATTAT